AACAGAACCTGAGAGAATGGCATGGAGCTGTTTTGGGGAAGGTCTCAGGTTGGGGGTTAGGAAAAAATTCTTCCCCAAAGACTAGTGGGCATGGGACAGGCTATCCCAGGCTATGGCCCAAAGTGCCGGAGTTTGAGGGGTGTTTGGAGAACTCTATGTCAGACATAGGGTTTAATTTTGGGTGGTGCTGTGTGGAGTCAGGGTTTGGACTTCTCAATCCCTGTGGGTCCCTTCCAACTCAGGTTAGTATATGATTCTGTGACTGCAGGGAAAGAGGTAGCAGATCATAGACAGAGGGGATCCAGAGGGCTTTGGGCAGGGTGCTCAATCAGGAGGGAGCAAAATTCCACGCTCACATCAGCTCTGCTAAAAGCAGTGAGTCCAGAAGTCAAGTTAAAAGGCAGAGCAGTTCCACACCTCCATACAAAAGCCCTACCAAAAAGTTCCAAGAGCCTCTGTGAAACAGCAGTGCAAGGAAGTTGAAAATAAAGCAGTAATCTGTCCTGTTGTATGAACACTGTAGTGAAAACAGATGGCAGTGTGCCAGTTTATGAGGAATATAAAGTAGCAATTAATCTTTCCTCAGACATGGATGGATGCCTCCTTCCTTCAGTGTGCTGCAGGAGGACAGGTGCTACTGAGCAGTACCTGCTTACCAGGAGGTGGTGCTGGCAAGTTCCCCTGCCTGCCATCAGTAATTAAAAGGATCAGCCCAGGATAACTTGTCGTCTTGAGATGCTAGGGTGCAGCAATTCATTATTATTATTATTATTTTTCCCAGATAAGCATACATCAGCTGCTGCACAGTGTTATTCAAATAGCACCCTAATGACTGGAGAAACAGAGCAGTACTTAAAACCTGGAAATCATATTAAGCTGAATGTCCAGTTTTATATTAAGAGTGAGAAAAAACCACAAGTGTTTGCAGACAAATGTAAATTATTTCAGAGGAAGAGTTGATGCTGTTGGAATTCAGCTGCTTAAATTAGAAATACAAATCACAGATCTAGCACAAGCTGGGAACTCTCTTGACATTGCTATAACACGAGGGACAAGTCATTTCATGCTTCCTTGCTTCTGCAAAACGTGTAAGCAAATTGTTACTGAAAGGTAAGATATTGGGGTGGTCATGTGAATGCCAGAAGGTATTTATTTGTAGTTCACGTATGGCACAACATTTGCCGTTGCACCTCTAATAAGAACTGAGATGTAAAGTATTGTCAGTAGGCAAACTGTACAAGGGATCTTGGATTATTTTTTTTCTCAGCAGAAATCTTAAATTCAGTGAATTATGTAGACTGTGCTTAAACCAGGCATCCTTCCTAATGAACAAAACATGTTTCTTATAGTACAAGGCAGAAGAAATTGACTTTGAGGGTAAGTAGAGAAAAGCCTTGAGACAAGAGTCCAGCGGTCAGAAAATTGGGATTTTTTTAATTTCTTGAAGTAACTTGCATCTGTAGAACTCAAACTAATAATTTTCAGCTTCAGAAGAACATTTTCTCTACTAGACACAAAGAAAAGTTTTCATTATTAATTAGCAGTCATGACGTGATTTCAACAAGAAGCAGTAGATTCTTCATCTAAGATCTCAGTAGATAAAAATTAGAAAATACCTCAGATAAAAAATATAGATCCAATGAAACTGAAACTCATTATGGCATTTTTTAAGATTCACTGATAATTATCCACATTTTTCCCTTTTCCACATGTGGTTTTTTGAATACATTTTTATCTGTATATGTGAAACTTTCATAATTAGAAAACTAAGGAGGCCTGCGGTGTTAATCATCTTTCCTAGCTTGTTGTTCAATTTAATTATTGTCTATTTAATTCGATAAATTAAATGTGTATATACTCCATACAAATTAAATTTTCATCCCCCAATCATTCTTGATCTCATATATTGAAGATATCATTTGAATTCCAGAACTGTATTTCTAGAAATATTATTCTTTCCACTTTCTGCTTGGTATAAAGTTCACAGAAGCAAGTGACTAGCAAACAAAGATTGACTACTTATGAAAAACACATAAAAATGTAATGAGATATCAAGAAAAAATTAAAACTGAAAAGGAATCAAAGAAAATCTGATTCCCTTAAAAATAGAGAAAAGCACAAAACATTTTTTACTAAGTAAACAACAGGTAAGAAACATACAGGCTCTTATCAGCTTTCATCCACCTTATCAAAAACTAACCTTTGCCTCTATCCTATCAAAAGATTTCCACACGAATTGAAAACCTGGAAAAACAAGACCAGTTATGCTTTCTGCATCAAGGTCCTTCTTTCTTCTTCCTCTACGTACGTTCTTTGCTGTGTCCTCTGTTCTTTATCTGGCAACTACTTGTGGAGCCTGTTTTTGGTGCTCTTTTGCACCTTCAGAAGCTGGTGAGAAACAAGTCTTGAGCTGCACTTTCCATGTAACCACAGTGCATCTTTTGCATGGCACTCCTTTCTTTCCATTTAGGAAGGTTTGACTGTTTCAAGAATGTAAGAAGGTTTAGAATTACAAAAATAATTTAAAAAACAACAACAACAAAAACAAACAAAAAAAAAACCCCATCCCTACTGAAATGTCTTCAATTAAGTTAGTTTCATTTGACCAATGCACGCACAGCGTTACTGCTTTATCCAAACCTGGTGTTATACTCTGAATCATTTTGTCTCATTTCAGAAGTTTGTTGTATTTGTTTTCAGATAATTTACAGCACATCATTACTCTATGCATTTCATTCTGAATCAGGTCCAGTTTTGCAGTGAAACACCATTCCTTCAGTCATGTTTTCCAAAAACCTGGACAGTTTCATCTCCCTGGCTCACAAGCAGTGTCTAAGAACAGCGTGCTGAAACTACCACAGTCCCATTAAAAGTAATTGCAGTCAGTGATGCAGACAATTATTTCTGACTGACCAATTTGTTGCTCTTTTCAGTTCAAGAATACAATATGATCTTCTGTCCTTTTTTCCCTATCTTGTCCTGTTTAATTGACAGGCCAGCATTACTTACAATTTACTGCAGACTGCAGTCTCCTGTCAGAAGACGTTTTGAATTCTGAACATAGGCTTACATTGCTTTGCTGCAAAGGTTAATTAACACTTCTTTTTGCTGATACCAGGAACAGAAATGTAAAGGAAACAAGAAACTGGCATAAATGGAAAACTGCCAATTACACTCTGCAAATTCGACTTTGTATATTGGTTGGTAAGAAAAAAAGAAAAGCAAAACAGATTTACTATCTCTATTTTGTAGAAAATGTTTTTCCACAGTTCAAGTCAGTATGTATTGCTAAGTCCTAAACATTGTAATATTTCTTTACTTCTCTTCTGTTACTACAGCAGTGATTTTCACATTTTCAGATCTCCTTAATTCCTAATTATTTTCCCATTCATTTCTGTTTTATCTGGGTAACTCTTCCCTAAAATGTTTAGAGTGTGTGCCACTTTTATTTTCTAATATTCTGCCCTACAAAAAAGCTCCCATCTTTCCCTAACGATTTCTCATCCATTTTATAGCAACTATTTCTGTGGTCTTCCTATGTTCCTCTAGGTTTGGAAACAGAAAATGCACCCTCAAATAACTCCAGGAGACCCACATTTATATCAAGAACCAACTAATAAGCTATTTTCCATAAAATTCATTCACAGCCTCCCACCATCCCTTCCTGCAGCTCCCTGTGAGAGAAAAAAGAAGCGCTTTAGAAGCCTTTTCTTGAACCCATACCTTGTATGGAGGGAAGTGTGAGTTATGAATAAAACAGCTGTAATAGTTGTAATAGTAGATGCCCCCCATGGTGCTTGTCATACTGGTTGAGCAAGACTTTCTCCTTCAGTTTCTTCCTCAAGGGTGTCAGGTAGGATAGCTTTAAGTTTAACCTTGAATTGAGCTAAGAAATGACAATCATGGGAAGGATACTGAGATCACCACTCCTTATCCCCACTGTGCTTGTATCAGTCTTTCTCTCTTGACTTTAACTCTATAAAATGACTTTATTTATATATAGTATATATATATAGTATAATATATATATAATTTATATATATATTATTTTTCAATAATATGAATTGAAATCTGTTTTTCCTCTCAAACTGAATTGCTCACTGATTTTATGTTTATGTATTGAAAAGGACATTACAAAGTCATTCCTTTTCCTTTACCTACATAAGCCCTAACATGGCTGTAGGACTGGGTTCCTAACTGAAAAGTTAAGGTAATTTTATATAAGTGAGGCATTCCACAAACTCTCATTTAGCCTTGGAATGTGGGAGCGCTTTCAAAGAACACCCTTGAGAGATTGACATTGCTCATGGTTCACTAAGGACTAGCAGATTGTGAGAACCTCAAATTAGTATAAGTTCTGTTGTACGTACTTAAAAAAAGAGAAATTCCAACAGGGAAATACATTGCTAGAAAAGAGGAAGATGGCAAGAAATAAGTCTACAGAAATCAGGTTTCAGGAGGAGGAACTGAGACAGAAAATTAAGATTGCCTTTGTCAAAACTATAGAATATCAACATTTTTGTCTCTGGTATGAGCCTTTGATTAATATGAGGAAGGCTGCTGGCAAGTCTTCTCAATGTAATTATTTCATCCTCATCCCAGATAGACCTTTTATATTTTTCCAGAATACCCCAGATGTTCTCTTCCTTGGACAGCCCAGAATGTAGGAAAAAAACATAATTTCCTTTAGAACTTCATGCTGTTTCTGGCATGGAAAAAGGGGAAATATCTTTTTTTTTTTAAATCTTTTTTTAGTGCTTACAGTGAACCCAATCTACTTTTTTTGAAACTAGACAAAGATGCTGCATCAAACTGGGATCTATTAGAGCAGAGTATGATAGGTTAATTGGGTCATTATTGTAGTATGATACAATGCTACTGATTTTGAGATAATGTGGAAGCTTAGGCTCACAGTATATTACACTCTACTGTAAAATCTCATGACTGGTATGAAATTAACTATGTTCAACATAGTAATCAGCAAAAAAAAAAAATCTTACTAGCATTAATGTTGGCACTCCTCCAGTTCCTTCAGAATATCAAAACTGTTCTTCATAAATTCAGTATTCTGCAAATTAAGAACAAACACATTCAAATTGAATCTATTTGAGAGTAGATCATAATTCTACAAAAGATGCAATAGTAATGATAGGTCTACTTTGAAGAGCTGCTTCGATACACATTAAATTTGGGAGCAGAAAATTCCAGAATAACTTTATCGATAATTATTTCAATAAAGTAACGGAAGCAATACCAGTTAAAACAAATCTGAATGCATTAAGGCTATCATAAAAAACTTGAAAGGCAGAAAGCTCAATCCCTTTCTCAAAGACTAAGGAAAAAGTTCTCACCTTTGTCATTCTTAACTGACATTTATCTTGCTTACACCCAAATCTGAGCCATTACACTTCTTAAGGTGAGAAGTAAAATGAAAAGCTTTAATTCCTAGTCCAAATAATCTTTAAAGCACAAAGATATTATCCAACTAGAAATAATTCTCATACACTTCGTGTTCTCGTTACAAGGTTGAAAATCCCCATAGTTGAACATTTACTTTCCATCATGTTCTTAGTATTTACACTACATAGATTATTAAAAGGAACTGGAAAACAGTAAGGAAACCTTTTTGGGTGCTCTATGGCAGCTGTGTGTACTATTGGTGAGACTCTCAAGTTACAAGCTACAATCGAGTTGACCATTAAGCTCAGAGAAACTATTTGCTGGTGTGGAGGAAAGTTACACAGCTAAGACAAAACCTGTATTATCTCTATTGGCTGTAATTTAACACTTTGGACAGGGTAAACTAGGAGAGTGTTCCTGGGTACTTTCTAGCTGGTGCTTGCAGGTCTGAGCAGTGTTTGAAACTCAGCAGCAATGGATGTCTCTCCTTTAGCCACTCTTGTTCTCATCAAGCAAACAGTCTGGAAACTAGGAATTCCCCAGAATGTCAGCTGTTCCATAAAAGAAATTGCTTATAAATATTTATTGGGAATGGGGTTGCAGGAGACAAGGGAGAGACAAAATGCATCTATAAACTTGTTACTAAAAAGCTGTAACACTTTTGGGAAAACCAGTGCACTGGTCACTGAGGCAACTTGTTGGGGTTGTGGTCTTTGGTTTAAAGACACAGATATTATGAGATTTACTCAGAAAAACGATTATCCACATCTGTGTTGATTTCAAACACTGTTTCTACAGATCATTTGATTGCTCTTTGATAAATTCTCTGTGTGTGCATCAGTGTCCATTGCTGTTCCTGCAGACGTGAATCTGAAAATGCATCTATGTATCCACATATAAGGATTGTGAAAGACGTCTGTCCTTTTGGTGGGAGAGGCTGTTGTTGTGAGTTACTGAAGATTCAGGACGAAAACAGGAGATAGAATAATGATCACAGAAAAGACAACACAAATCATGACGAATACGTCCCTCTTCCAGAAGGAGTAAATAATTAGTGCCCTGAGGGACTTGAGCAACGTGAGGAAATCTGTTTCAGCATCCAAACACACTTCCTGATAGCAATGTTTTCTTTAAATCCAAATCTTCTTCAGTGTAATTTAAGCCCATTACATTTTGTTCTGACTCCAAGGCTTATAATGAAGGGGCAATTTGTTTCTGGAGCTACCTTTTCTATAGACGAAAACAGTTGCATGTGATCTTGATCTTCTTTTTCTGAGATTAAGGAACCTACATTTCTTCAGTCTACAGGATGCCTACACATTTGATCATTCTTCATAGAAGCACAGAATCACAGCGTAGGTTTGGTTGGACCTTTAAAGATCAGCTGGTTCAACCTCCCTGCCATGGGCAGGTACACAGTCTACTACAACAGGTTACCCAAAGCCACGTCTAGCATGACCTTGAACACCTGTGGTGATGAGACATCAACAACTTCTCTGGGCAAGGTGTTCCAATGCCTCACCATTATCATAGTGAAGAAATTCTTCCTAATATCTAATCTAAATCTACCTCTTTTCAGTTTGAATCCATTACCTGTTGTCCTGTCACTACACTCCCTAATAAAGTGGCTATCCTCATCTCTCCTGCGAGATCCCTTTAAATATTAGAAGGTCACTGTCAGGTTTCCCTGCAACCTTTTTTACTCAGCCTGAACAACCTCAACTTTCTCAGTATGTCCTCATAGGAGAGTAAACAGCTCTCTGATCATCAACAGCACCACATCTTCCTTACAATAAGGGACCCAGAGCTAAATGCAGTACTCCAGTGGAGCTTCAGAAGGGCAGAAGAGAGGGGGAGAAATCATCACTGTAAGCCTACTGGCCGTGCTGCTTCTTCTGCAGCCCAGGATACGATTATCTTTATCAGCTACAAGTGCATGCTGCTGGCTTATGTCCAGTTCTCATCCCTCAGGAGCCCTAAGTCCTTCTCCATGTAGCTGCTTTCTATCCATTCATCCCACAGTATGTACAGATGCAGGATTGTCCAGGTTGTTTCCTTTGGACCTTCTCTAGTTAGCACACCTCAGAAAAACAATGTTCCAGCCTGGGCCCAGCCTTTCAGATGAGCTCTTGCCACTGCTGAACAGAATGGAATGGTCTGATCATTTCAGCTTTTTTAGCTACATTTCATGGAACCAAACAAAATAATTAATTCTGAGGGACATCTGAAAATAATGAGGAAGTCTTGAAATTTTCCCTTTCCTTCTAAGAAAACACTACCACTTAAATGAATGCTTCTAGGAATGCCTCAAGTATAGTGTCTCTGGATGGATCACTTCAGATTTGTTATAGTAATGATGCCTCATGGAAAACTTCTTTCTACCTCAAACTGTGTTAAAAACAGTAAAACATTGACTTTCAAATCCATTAGTAGTCATTGGATGCTTTCCTCCATGCGTAAAACTGAGACCAGGGGGAATTGTGAAGCCAGCTTGCAGGAAATCTGTGTCAGAACTGGGCACATCTAATGAATTTTGGTCTGAAAGGAGTAAAGCTATTGTTCAGCTGAAGAACAGAAGGACAGAATGTGATTATAAAGCTAACAGACATGCCACACAACATTATGCTTAGGCACACAGTGTTACTAAGGTGTGCAGAAAGCTGTGTGAAAGAGAATGGGAAAGTCATCAACTGGCCTGAATGCAGATCTTGTGCACATCCTACTGAAACATGAGGCAGAAGGACAGATTCCATCTTATGACGGTCCTCAGAGTCCTTGATTATATTACTGCCAATTCTCACTTTCATGAACTGCTGGGCATTCCTAGTCTCAAAATTTTAAATGAAAACAGTTTTTTTGGGTCTGTTTCACAGACACCACTGGGCTGTGGACTACAACTGTGCAGTCATTCGTAGAAAGAGACTTAGATCACAGAGATCTTGCTGTCTCTTATGGGCATAAAAAGCAAACTAAAATTTTCATCTGAACAAACGTTTGTCACAGTGTTGGCATTTTCCACTAGCGATACGAACAGTTTGGATTAGATAGCTTCCAGGATTTATGACCAAATAAAATGGATGTTATAATTTTAGATTGGCTTACGTTATTGGGGTTTATTTTGTACATAGAATTAACTTCACCGATCATTTCAAGTGTTAAATAAAAAATCTAGTGCACACATTTATTTATTTTCTTACCTCTCAATTGTTGACTGATTCATATCATCAGCTGTAGTAATTTACTCTTTCAGCAATGATAAGCACTCAGCCACTAGAGAGCATTTCAGGGTCCAGGTAAAAGGAGGGCCAACATCCTGATATATGAAAATATCTCATTCTGAGATGCTCATGGGCAAAGTAAGCCAGAAATCGTTACTGAGGAGAATAGTGCGAGATGCAATTGGATTGTCAAGAGAGGAAAGACAGGGCAGCAGAGAGCCCAGGAGCCAGGAGGTGAGGCTGCTCACCTCACGTGAAGAAGGCTTTAGAGAGAAAAGCACTGCAAACATCATATTCTACAGGCAGGGAAGGTCTGAAGCAGCTTAGCAGGACAGCCGTTTTCTCTCCCTTGATTTCATTGCTTGATGCTGTTTATTGATAGACAATAGCATTCAGTTTTTAAGTTAGTATTTGAGAATGTGGATTTGGCAATGTCATTAGCTGAATACATATGCAGATTGATCTAGCAGTGGGCATGGAAAAGCAGCAGAAAAGAGCACAAAATCCACCCAGAATGAAATACTGTTATTCCTTGCATTCTGATTTTGAAAAATGAACATTATTCTTTGAGAAATAGAAAACTTTAACATATAAACTCTGACATACTACTGTTTAAAACACAAATATACACATATATATTATCCATTGGTTTAAAAATTTCACCTGTGCTGAATGTGGAAATGCCATCTGAATATCTTTCATCAAATAAAGTATGCAGCTACAAAACTGCTTATTTATCTTTCCTACGTGAAGCCAGATGCTTATTTTTCTTTTTTTCCTCAGTGCCTCTACATTTCCTTTTATATTCTAATGACAAACAGGTATGCAGCCTATGATACCCTGAAATAACTGAGGTTCACTTCACTGCTGTACAGGCATTGTGAGGACTCAAAAAATTCATCTGATGGGTGAAACAGTTCTTGACAAGTTGTAATACTAGTGATTATACAGCCCTCCCCTTTTTGAAAGTACTGCAAGCATCACTCATGTCCTACAGAAACTAGATAGACTACACATGAAATTTTGCAGCTTTCTTCCCATTTTGTTTCAGATTAATGACTGCTAATCTTTAAAAATGAAAATGAGGTTCTATCAGGAAGGAAAAATAATGTTCTCTTTAATAATAAGCCATCTAAATTTCCTTTAATTAGCTACAACGTTCACTTGAAATCTTGCCTCCTCCTGCTCTGAAGGCAGTATTAAATCCCCCCTCTCCAATTCTAAGAGACATTTGATTACATGATGTGAAACTGAACAAAGTGGAACTGGCAAATACCTCCAAAATATTTGCAGTAAATGTCAGCTTCTATAAAAAAAGCTGAATAAAAACTTCATTAAGCTTTGAATGTTTTATTTTTATAACTCTATAGAAAACTCAGCAAATCTAGAATCTACTTGATGTTATGCATCATTTTTCATCTCATTCATATCATTTCCATGGAAACTTTGACCTGCGTTTCACTGTAAGTCAGGTAGTTGATTCAGGAAATCATAGCTTGATAATCTAGAAGGACAGGAGAGAAGACCCAAGAAGACGTTTTAGACTAACTTCTGTCCCTATAAAGGTCTTAGAGAAGAGTTCTGGGTGTTATTGACAGGTATTTAAAGAAAAAAAAAAAACAATTGTCAGGAATAGTCAATGTCGTTCACAAAAGGAAAATCCTTTCTTAGTAACTTGATATCCTTCAAGTCAAGTCAGCTGCTCAGTGGATGAAGGAAAGGTGGTGGATGTAATCGTTTCTGAATTTTAGAAAGGCCTTTGAAATTGTTTCTCACAATATCACTTTGGACAAATTGTTCAGCTGCAAGTTGAACAAACACAGTGTT